TGCGTTGACACGTTGTACATATTTAAGTTCAACGCCCTTAGTCTCTTGTCTTACCACTTCTGAGAAAATACAAGCTCAAATAAATTTGCGCCAGAAAAAATGTTGCCTGCACAACTTAAGATCCACTTGGTTCCTTTCATTTCCCTTATCTCCCAGAAGGGAGACAATCCTAGTTTTTATAGAATCTTCTATTAGAATATACTTACTAAACAAGGTTAAATTTTATTGAAATTCATTTTAAGAAGAAAAATGTATTCTTCTTTACTTAGTTCTCGTAAATTCATTTTAAGAAATTTTTTTATCCCAAATATTTAGAATCAGTTACATTAATCTTATTCTTTCATTCCATTCTATTATGGTCATTTCACCCTAAAGGGTGCAAAGAGAAAGTTGATGTTTATTGGTTAATGCGTTCTATTATTGGTTTATATCACGTGCCATTCCGATGTTTTTTTGGTGACATAATAATTCACGTGTTAATTATCAATAGAAACGTATACATATACAGAGAGGGATAACTGACCTACTACCGATAGGTGTTGAATAGAAACTTTGCTGCTCGTTGATTGGTCATTTGTGTTGGCGAGCGAGACAAACCAAAGGGATACGCAAGATCTTACTTTGGTCGGGGGACAAGTTGCCATTCTCAATCTATTTGACCAGATTCAGACAAAACTGACCGACCAATACCAATACGTCTATATCATCTATTAATATCAGAATACGACAACCCAACGGATACCTTGAGTAGTAAAATTTTAGTGCTAGTACACGTGAATCATAGTTAACATGAGAATACGACAACCCAACGGATATGACAAGTCTTAATTACTTTGTCAATGATTTATTAGGAAGCTAAATCGTAATGTTGTAACTTTCTAATTCAAACTTCATAACATGTCATAGAACATCACACGTCAATATTCAATAAACAACACCGGTATATATGACAACAATTTTCACAAATATTTCACTACATTCGTTATATTAATTGCACACGAATGAACGGTGCTTATCAACCTTACAAAAGTAATTCAACAAAATATATTTTTTTTCAATAAGCAAAATAAGCTCGTCTCCTCCTACGTACGATCTGACTTAGATGATTAAACTTCTTTATAAATATCAGTTTTTTTTTTCTATCATCAATTAGCTGAAGTTGATGCCTTTTCCTTAGAAAAAGGACTCACATGATCAAAATATAAGGATTGATGATGAATTCAAAATCAGATCATCAACCTCCATTCAAGTTAAAAATAAAAAAAACAAACACACGCTCACACATATAAGAAATGATAGAGGCACACCCTCCGGGTACACCCCCTCCTATCTACAGTGCAGGGGCTCCACTTGAGATTTTTTCCTATCTACAGTGCAGGGGGTCCCATTTGAGATTTTTTAAAAAATCTCAAGTGGAGCCCCTGCACTGTAGATAGGAGAGGGGGTGTGACCGGAAGTGTACCCGACGATATGCCTGTAACGCCTCCCCACACATATATAGGGGAGAGAGAGAGAGGGATAAAAAGAAACTCTTGAGCTGCAACAGACTGCCAGCAGAGGCTGCAGTGGAGACCACCAGTCCTATTGGGAGCATGGGGTACCCTTCATCCAAGTGTTACCCTCTCCCTCACTTTTGTTCTCTTCTAAAACCCTCTCTCTAACCCCTCAACACTATTAATGGACCCCACACTAACAACCAAAACCCTTAATAAACAAACCCCCCTCCCCCTCACCTCCTGTAAAAATTTTCTCCTCATTGGGTAAACCACCATTGAGAACTCACAACCCTCGCCTGGCTAAGTTTGCCCAATTTCTTCAAACAAGAGGGAGGAAAAGCACCCGTTACGGGCCCATCTCCTCCCTCTCATTCTCACTTACAAATCCACCACCATCACCAGCAACAGAAACTCCCCGTTCCCACCAAAAAACCCAAAATGGAGAACCCGTCGCAGAGCAGCTGCCCCGCTAAAAAGCCGAGGGCCCGCCGAAGCCGCGAGCCGCGACAGCCCGGAGGACGGCCACCGGCCCGGCCCAGCCCAAGAGGAGTTCTGTATATAGAGGAGTAACAAAGTACTTGGTTTTCCAAAAAAATTTCATTTAATTCGTTTCCTTCCTACGCCGTTCTTTTTTTTTTTTTAATGCATGTTGAGTTTAGGCACAGGTGGACAGGGAGGTTTGAAGCTCATCTCTGGGATAAACATTCTTGGAACCAAGTCCAGCACAAGAAGGGCAGGCAAGGTAATTATAAAAAGAAAAAACAATAATCTGATTAACTTATATTTTTATGTCTTGTAATATAAAAACAAGTACAAAACTCGTAGACTGATCAGCATAAAGATCAGCATAAAAACAAGTACAAAATCTTTTTTTTTTCTGACAAATTTTTTTTTCTGATTTCCCTCCCCTCTGATCATGATGGTGATCTGGTGGTGCCTTTGTCTCTGCTGCTGCTTAGTTTATTTAGGTATGTATGTCACCAGCACTTGTCACGGTAAAAAAGTTTACTGCTTTTGGATTCCTCTTATGATTATTGGGGGCCTGGAACTGTTCTAAATTTCCCTGTAAGTCCTAACTTTTATCTATATTTCAGTTTTACTAGGATCTGATTAGAATAATAGTTAACTTAATTAACGGAGAAGACGGTTGTTAACTAAGCTAAACTTAGAGTAGGAAGTAGGATCCATATGGCTGATCATAAAGATTGGAGTTTAAGATTGTTGTTGCCGTGTTTTTTTTTTTTTTGTTCTTCCTTTTTTTTTGACTTTATTTATATGTTATAAAAATAAAAAAATGTACTTATTTGCAGTTAAGTACATATACAAAAGAGTATCAGGAGATGCAGAAATTGACAAGAGAGGAGTATCTGGCCAGCTTGCGCCGCAGGAGCAGTGGCTTCTCCAGGGGGGCCTCCAAGTACAGAGGGGTGGCCAAGTAATTTTCCTTTTTTTTCCATTTTAAATTTGTTTAAAAATAATTAATTAAGTTATCTGTCTTTAGATCAGTACGTGCATTTGACCATTCTTATTTTTGGTTGATTATCTATATATGCACGGCATTTTTGACAAAATCAAGTATTTCACAAAATTAAAAAAGAAATTCAAGGTTCAAAGTACAGAAGTAAGCTGATTAATTAGATCGTAAATGAAATGATCGATAATGCCTGTTTTCAATTTTAATCATTTTATCCACTATTTATTTTACAGACGATAATGATTAGTTAGTAAAGAAAATTTAGAGGTAACGTTTTCTTGTGCTGTACAGAGCCATTTTATGGCAATTTTAAAAATAATAGAAGGTTATGATTAAGATTATGTCTACGCTCAATCTATGAACTTCCTTTGAGCTACATTGTCAATATTTCTGTAGGCACCATCATAACGGGAGATGGGAAGCGAGGATCGGTCGTGTTTATGGCAACAAATATTTATATTTGGGAACTTTCAGTATGAATTCTCGCTGTCTTTCACTTTTTAGAACTTCTTTTTATCTGTGACTTTGATTTTTGCAAATTGCACTGAAATTTCCAAGTACAAATCTTAGTTGCATTTTAGAGTGAGATTGTTGCAGTATTTTGTGAACGGAGTTTGTTGGGTTCTTGTCCGTTCCATTTCTGGTT